CTTCGCTCACTGTATTGGAATGTGCCACACAATATGCTTTTTTGAAGAGGAACCAGGGAGTAATTCATCTTCTTTATGTGTGCTAAGCAGAGCAAGAGGGAGAGGCGAGCGGGACCCACGATGGGCTGGGGAGTCGTGATTAGTAACAGCTGACAGCCTCAGACCAAGACCCTTTCTTTGGCTACCTCATTGTAACAGCCGAGCACAAAGGAATGACTGTCCTCCTGCCAAGATTCAGAAACCCAGGACCACAGAAAATAGCAGCAAAAAGAAAAGTGTGTGTTGGGCAGTGAGGGCAACAGGCTGACGAAAGCCACGCTTGGATCTACCTGTAAAGGTTGGGTTTGGAAAGAAACCTCTGTCACGTGGAAAGCCCTGACTCCGCGTGGTGCCCATTCACCAGCACCATCAGGAGCACTGATGGTAGCGGGAAAAGTAGTGAATTCACGCACAGAAAGAGCCTGGAGAGGGCAGCAAATTGCTTTGGTTTAATGAGAGGAAGTTCTTTGAGGGCCAGAGCCCCAGCCTGTTTTCCCTTTTTTCCCCAAAGAACCGTGATTTACAACTGACCACTGGGTGAGTAGTTTGCAATTTCCACAAAAGCCGTCTTTACTTTGGATTGTGTTTCTTGTTAGGGAAAAGACCTTCCCGCACGACTGTCTTGGGAAGATGATGGAGGTGGCATGTTTCCTAGCTGGCAGGATGCTAAATGGGACCGAATTCCACAACCACGCTTGACTTGTCCAAAATTAACCAAAGGGCTTCTCAAGTTGACTGCAGAGCATGTCAGACTCAAGGGGTGCCCTTTCTTCCCATGGAAGGCCTGTCCCTCACAGAAGAAAAGGAATTGAAATGAAAGCCTCATAGAAGTTGAAGGCAATATATGAATGTTAAAGACCAATTCAATCTGCCCTGCTTTGCCAAAGAACAGCTGATGCAGGAGTGTGACTCCAGGCCCAGCCATGAGGCCGGGGAGCAGCAGATTCTCAAAGGAGCCACACACACCTGTGCCCAACCACACCCTGCAAAGATTCTGGAACCATAATCCAACCTCAGCACTCTGCAATGGACTGAGGTTAAGTTTGTTGTTTGAAACAGAAATTAAGATTTTTCAAACAGATATATTTCTTTAAAATAACATCAACAACCAGAGAATAAAATATGTTCACCTTGTCTATTTGTTTTTCTTTTTCTTTTTTTATCTTTGAGATGGAGTCTCGCTCTGTTGCCCAGGCTGGAGCACAGTAGTGCGATCTCAGCTCACTGCAACTTCTGCCTTCCAGGTTCAAGTGATTCTCCTGCCTCAGCCTCCCAAGTAGCTGGGATTACAGGTGCCCACCACCATGCCCGGCTAACTTTTGTATTTTTAGTAGAGACAGGGTTTCACCATGTTGGCCAGGCTGGTCTCAAACTCCTGACCTCAGGTGATCCACCCGCCTCAACCTCCCAAAGTGCTGAGATTACAAGTGTGAATCACCAATTTGTCTACTTTTTAAATTAAATCCAGCAATGTGAATCTTACCTACAATACAAGAAAATACATTTTAAAAATTCAGGTCCATGCTTTGGCCAGTAGAGTGTGCAAAATGAAATCTTTGGTGTTAGAGCTGGGGCTGAGGAGAGGAGAAAGGGAAGACTGTGGAGATAGAGTTGAGAGACAGATAGGAAGAGACAGAGAAAAGAGAAAAAGTGAGAAAGAAAGGGAGACGAGGAGGCAAAAGAAGATGGTGGGATGGAGAAAAAGTTCAGAAGGGTCTTTTATCTCAGTCTGCATATTTCTTGGGCTGTGGCCAACAGCACCCGCTTTCAGTTCTGATTAGTTTTCTTAGCATTTAAAAGCTCATCAGTTGTTCTTATCTAATCTATCAAAGATTAGTCCCACCTAGGGAGTGGGAGATTATTCTCTCAGTGACCAGAGCCAAACAATCAAGCAGCATCACTTCATAGAGTGAAAACACTGTCGGAGTAAACTCTAGAATCAATTGGCTTCCCTTGTTTCTGGTTACCATTGTAAGAGAACATTCTTTCCTTGGAACAGGAAAAGCTACATTTTTGCCCCCAGGCCCAAGGGAAGCAATGGAATTGAATTATTGCTGATATATTCCACAGCCAGTGGCACAACACTTTTATAGCTTTCTTCCTTCTACAGGTGGGAGTTGTTTCTGCACATTCTACTTTGGTTTCGTAATACCTGTGTGCATACTTTCTTCTCGGCTTCATAGTCTGATTTTTTTTTCAAGGGGTATTTAGGAATCCCAAAAATTATCCAAAAAAATTGTGAACAGTCCCTTATATCAAACTTCACTTCTCCTGACTAGATTTCCGGGGTTTAGGAAGGCGTACAGAGAAAGGATATAGAAGTAACATTTGGTTGGCCTGAGTTGCATGAGATGGTTGGTAAAATAATTCTTCAATCTGGAATTTAGGAATAGAGTGGTTGTTGATGATACAGTCACCAGGATTTGGAACAAGCACAATTAGTGGATGGATATATTTGAGTAAAATATAGTCCCACTAAATGATTTAAAAAGAGAGAGAGAGAGAGAGAGAGAGAGAGAGAGAACTGGGGACATGGCTGTTAAAAATAAGTATGGAATAGAAGACCTACACAGAAGATAAAGAGGAGCCAGGTACAAAACAATGATTTTTTTTTTTTTTTTGAGACAGAGTTTCGCTCTTGTTACCCAGGCTGGAGTGCAATGGCGCGATCTCGGCTCACCGCAACCTCTGCCTCCTGGGTTCAGGCAATTCTCCTGCCTCAGCCTCCTGAGTAGCTGGGATTACAGGTGCACACCACCATGCCCAGCTAATTTTTGTATTTTTAGTAGAGATGGGGTTTCACCTTGTTGACCAGGATGGTCTCAATCTCTTGACCTCGTGATCCACCCGCCTCGGCATCCCAAAATGCTGGGATTATAGGCGTGAGCCACCGCGCCCGGCAACAATGATTTTTAAATGAAGGATTCAAAGGACTATGGCTCATCACAAATAATTGAATGAGTCGGTAAAGGTAGTGAAGTTACATTCAGGATAATGTGCTTCTTCTAAAAGCGACTATTAATTACTTCTACAGTAAAAACTTTTTCACTTATTCGTGCATTCTTTCAACATTTATTAAGGACCGTCTTGGTACTCTGGCAAAGGACATAAACATTAAGCCTTTGCTGTATTTATTACAGTCAATAGGACGTAAAAAATTATTGTGAAACCGGCCTAAACTAATAAAACACATCAAATTATCTAGCAGAGTGATTTGGAATGGAATCGGAGGAAAATGGAAATATGTTGGTAGGAACTGGAAGGAAATGGTTGTCATCAATGTCAACTCCAGGGCTGCTTGGCTTGAATCCTGGCTCTCCCACTTATTAGCTTGAGACTGGTCAAGGTATGTCAGCCCTCACTCTCTTGGTAAATGGATGTTTTTGAGAATTCAATAAATTAACATGGGGCCGGGCACAGTGGCTCACACCTGTAATCCCAGCACTTTAGGAGGCCGAGGCAGGTGGATCACGAGGTCAAGAGATCAAAACCATTCTGGTCAACATGGTGAAACTCCGCCTCTACCAAAAATACAAAAAATTAGCTGGACGTGGTGGCGCATGCCTGTAATCCCAGCTACTCAGGAGGCTGAGGCAGGAGAATTGCCTGAACCCAGGAGGCAGAGGTTGCGGTGAGCCGAGATCGCGCCATTGCACTCCAGCCTGGGTAACAAGAGCGAAACTCCGTCTCAAAAAAAGAAAAAAAAATTAACATATGTGATGCCTTAAGAATATGTGGCATGTGATGACAGTGATGTTTTTATTTTTGTTTTTAAAAAAGTACTTTTAGCTCTCGAGGGCTCCTTGAAACACCACTGTAAACCATAACACGGTCAAATTACAGTCCACTGTCAGGCACGGTGCTGAGGGCATCACCTCCTTCAATCCTCCTAAGAACCCTTCAAGGTGGGGGCTAAAAATGGTCACCCCACATTTACAGATTAGGAAACAGTGAGATTAAGTCCCTCACTCAGGATCACACCGCTAATAAGTGGCACTGCTGGCATCTAAAGTCTCTCCAACTCCAGAGGCCACTGTTTGATCACTATGCCTGCTGCCTTGGAGAGTCTCTGTAAAGTAAAGTCCTCTTCACACTAGACTGGTATCAATCACTGATTTGCATTTGATCTACCCAATGGGGAACTGTGACAGTAATCTGCTTAAAGTCATGTTTGAAGGAAGCCATATATTACCGTAAAAAAAGATGTGGAAGTTGTAAAGTGCCACAGTCATGGTGAGTGGCTACTGTCCTAGCCCGGGGACCTGCATTGTACTTAGTTTAACATCTCTCATTGAACTGTAGAGTCATAACATGGTGGCTTTGTTGAGAAGGTGATATACTAATGGATGTCCTAAGTCAAAGAAGAAAGAAAAAAACCTCAACCATGGGTAATTACACATTGCAAAGACCATGGGTAGTCCCTAGAACGCCCAGGCCACTTGGTGAAGCTGCAGCACTCCTCCCCTAACTCTGTTTAGAGTGTCAGTTACCAAACTTTCTCTGAGTCCTGCCACAGTGGTGCTCACAATCTTCTAGGGAAAGTCTTCATCACTGGGCAGCTTTGATTTAAAAAAAAAAAACTGCTTAGAAATCTAAAATCACATTCCTTTTTACAGTTTCCCTTTGAGATAAATTTTTGTTTCTGGAGAAACCCAAAGCAAGCCTGATATGCGTTTACCACGGGACTTTGGTCTTCTTTTCTACAGACTGAAATGGGCCATTTCTCCAACTGATCCTCATATATCATATTTTCAGATGCTCACCATCCTGTAATGCCTCTCACTGCCTGCCAGTCAATGTCCTCACATTCTGGCCCAAACCTTCTTTTTTCAGCTTCATTTCCTACACAGGTCTACCCTATTCTGCCAGGCAATGCAGACTACTCAGTATTCCTTAGATATGCCTTGAGTTTCCCTGTCTCTGTCTCTTTGCTTTTAAGGCTTCCTCTGCTCTCATCCTTATTTCCTATGGAAATCCGACCACTAGCCCAGCCCCTGAATTTCCACATTTCCTTTGTGCTTCTTGGTTTCATGTGTGTACCCATCTGGCTCTCTATTTAAATTTTCAATTCCTTGAGGCTAGAGACTGGCAACATCTCTTTGTATCTTTATTGCCTTCCCTGGTTAGCACATTGCCTGCCCCAAACAGGAGTCTAATAAATGTATCTTGGATTGGATTCAACACCCTCTTAGTAGCGACTCTGTTTTGTCAAAGCGTCTCCTAAATGTGCTCAGAATGAAATTATTCCTGATACAGTGCGGTCAGTACAGACTACAGTGAACTATTAATATTTCTACTGAGGAAGCACACGGCTGCATTCATTCTTTGTTAGCTACCACTTCCTACTGCTGGTTCACATTAAGCCTTTAGTCACATGAACTGCGGCCAAGCTCAGTTGCTGCCCATCCTATCATTGCGCAATTGCCTTTTGAATCTAAAAGCAGAAATGTACACTTATACCCTGCTCAACTTCATTGTGTTGGTTTCCATCCAGCATTGCAGCCTATTGAAGTCATTCTGAATCATGATCACAGGCATAGGTAGTAGAAGCCATCCTTTCTGGGCTTATGTCATCTGAAACACTGTGTAGATGCCTTCTATGTTGTTGAGTTGTTGATTAAAGTATGGAACAGGACAGGGTTTTTTTTTGAAAAGTACAAAAGGGTACTTTACCAGGTGACTTTCCAGGTTGACATGGAGCCTTAAGCACTCATTAGGTCTAGAAGCTCAGCCAGCTTCAAAGACACTTCATGATTTTTATCAGCTCCTGTTTTATTGCTAAAGGTATTAGGGAAGATTCCAGAATAACCAAAACAAATTGTATCAGAAATTCCACAGCCAAAAAGTTATTATAGGAAGGGAGTACTTTTTAAATAAAAAAGATTCCCTATAGCACATGAAGCTATTACAAGATGTTTTGTGAGAATACTTTAAGCCTGACTTTGTAACTTTGGAATTACTCTCTTTTCCTAAAAGAATTAGTAGTATCAATCCAGAGAAGAATAAGCTAATAAATATTCTTCCCTACTAAATAGGAATATGATATCATTTGGGCAGAGATGTAAATACAACAAGGATTTATACAAATGTAAGTTATTCATATGTGAAAGGAATAACAGCATAATTATCTTAGGCTTCAGAAAAGTTAATTGAATAATTCATTAGCAAAAATTTCTGGCTGTGCTACAGTGATTATTAAAAAGTCTATTATTTTAAAGTGTATGCCTTTAGTTCATCTTCACTTTCATTCCTTCTGCAATAACATATCAGCTTGTGATTCTCCAGGTCACAGCCCTTCAAGTATAGTAATACATGATGGTCTATATTGATCACTATATGCCCAGTGGCTACTTGAAGGCTTGAATGAGTGATGAACGACAAATTCTGCAAATTCAGCAGGTGAGAATAATTAAGCAACTATATTCAACCTACCAATCAATGACTTATTTTTGTAATGTACTATAGCAAGAGTTCATCACTGCAACTAGAGCTGGAATGCAAATGTACAGATAGTAGTTCCTCTTCTCAAGGAGTTCTTTTGTTGTGTAGATAAGTAAGATTCTCACCAAACAATTAGACAAGTCACAACCCCACCAAATAGTAGAATGTTCAACCACACATGATGTGAAAAGCTAAGTACATGAGTACAGAAAAATTGTGAAAAATATTTAGCTCATGTGGAGAAAAGACTTAAGGCAACAAATGCACTTTAGCATAATAAATTGATCCAGTACCAACCTAGAGGCCACATATCACATCAGGGGTTCCATGGCTCAATAGAGAGGGGGCTTTAGTGACACGGAGATTTGAGTTTGAATTCAAGCTCAGCTTCTTGCTAGCAGGGAGACATTGAGACGTGATGTAACCCCTCTGAGACCTAGTTTCCCATCTATAAATGGGAATAATAAAAATGACCTTCACATGGAATAACAAGTACATATGTTCAACAACCGGCATCTTTTTTATACCCAGTAGTTGCTAGCAATTATTATGACAGGTAAAATAAAAAAAGTCACTGACCAATTATAGAATGAACCTGTAATCAAGATTAGGATTTTAGTACTTTTAGGTAGAATAAGTATAATCTTTACTGCAACACCAATGTTCTCAGCCATTTACAGCTTCTGATGTAATCACATCTTATTTAGATAATTACTGAGGAGCAACCATGCGTCCAGCTCCGTTCCAAGCTAAGTAAACCCCACGGTGTGTTGCCTCTAACTTGTACTTATCTTAATGCAATGGAAACTTGATTGTAGAGCACATAATCCCACAAGGAATCTGCAGACACCCTCAGAAACCAATTCTGTCATCAAAAAGCCAAAATTAAATGCCTAAAACTGGCCAGGGCCCTCCAGGTTTGGTGAGTGAAGCCAAGGAACCCCAAAGGCTCAGTGATGTACAGAAGTTAGTACATGACCACTAGTTAGTGGTGAGGCTAGGACGGCATGAAGGTTTCATGGCCTTTTGATCAGGCAAAGTGGCTAAAACTTTGCTTTAGTACATCAGTTGGAAAGTGGTTACGTTTATGACAAATGGAGTTTTCCCAATTGTTACAAGGTCATAAACTTTCTTGGCAAAGTAGATTTTTAAATTTTAACATAAAAAATACAGTGACTTTTAATTGTTTTCTCAAGAGTCACTCATAAACAGTTTTCTCATCCAGAAACACCCATGAACTGCAGTAGGCAGGACTCAGGAGGCAGCCAGTCAGCAGAAAGGGGGTGAAGTAACATGCAACACGATCTCTGAAACTACCTAACAATTAGTGACAAAGCCAGGACCCGGTCAGTGAGAATGCCATCATTTGGCCCAAGCCAAGACTGAGGAAATGATCCTCTCTGGGCAGACCCTAGATGCAAGTGCAAAGAGGGACCTTACACCTGATACTCTCTGGCAAAGAAGGCAAAAGGGCTTTTGAAGTTGGTGTTTATAATATTAAAGCAGAATCTCAGAGTGTAGGAGTCATTGACATTAGCCAGTGCCTACAGATTCACACAGGGCACGCTCACAGCCATAATTCCCCGTGAGCTCACCTCCAGGTCCCCCAGGAGGCATGTACGACAGACATTTTTGTTACTGTCACTGCTATGATTTCCACTCCATAAACAAGCCCTGAATACCAAAGTGACTTCTCCCACAGCTAGTCAGTGCTGCCGCTGGTAGCTCCAGAAGTTTGTGTTCTTAAGAACCAAACAGGAATTACCACAAATAAACACAGCCAGAGTGAGTGTCCCCTGTACCACTCAGGTAGCACAGCTAACTACAGGGCCTCAGTAATGAATGAATTGACAACCTCAGCTAGACAATAGCTGCCCTGCATGACTCAGAGCACACATGCAATGAGGACAAGGAAGGGAACGAAGCATGAAGACATATGGTAGATGCTCTGTCAGGGCTGCTTCCTGTATATCCAGGGAGGGGACAGAGCTATACAAGATTTCCTAGGGGAAAGAAAGGAAATGGTGGCTCTTGAGAAGCGTATTGGTATACGCAGGCTTATGGAGGCCGCAGAGTTTGCAAAATGCCTCATAAATGTGTATGGAATAACTTTCAAATGCAGAGAAAGGCAAAACATTTCAAGTAGGGAGATAAACTGCATAAAGAAGTCAGATCCATGAACAGGGATCAGTCATCAGGATACACAAACCACCCTTCATCTACCACCGAGTGCTTTGAAGCACGAGAACGTTTCCATTGGCTCATCCACTCACAGTGCATTTTCTGCACGCCCAAACCATTTACACTGTGTTTCCTAACAGCCCCTGGAGGGGCGTAAGAACACCTCAGATGTGGATTTTTGAGTCTTCTGACATTAAAGCTGATTAAGAAGAAAATGTCAATATTTTCCTTATTTTTAGCTAATTATCCTCAGCTCCTTTGAGATGCATTTATTGCACACTTATTGTATGCCACTCTCAGGAATCCTTGACAGAAATACAACCTAGTGTCTGCTCTCAAAGCTCACAGGTCCAGGGGAGCACAGCAATCAGTGAGACAGAACAGTGTGTCAAGTTGAGAGAGAAGAGATCCGTGTGTCAGAAGCGAGGGTCCCAGGAGAGAGGCACTTGGGAAACGCTAACCTATACACTGGAGTCCTGGCAACACGACTGCACTATCAGGAACGACTGCAAAAGCTCATCTAGAAAGAAGGAGCAATTTTAGTGCCAAGTCAGATCTGCCCATGCGTGTTTACCAGATTCGACTTTGAGAGCCAAGAATTTAGTAATGGTGGTGTCAGAACCAACAAATAGGTTAGGGGAACTTGGGAGGGGTGAATGTGGCATCAGAGGTTAAGTATTTATGTGAACACCACAACACATTAAAGGCCTAAAAGCTGTTGAAATTGTAATTATCTGATGTGAAATAACCTAAATTTTGAAAACCAGTATCATTCACAATGCTGCCAAACACCAAGCATCTGTTCAATTCTGTTACAGACCATTTCCTAAGGGAGAGAACATGAAAGAATTGTAAGCAGCTGCTGAGAAGCATCCTGGCAGGGATGTGGCCTCCACACTGCAAATTTACGTGCTAACTTATTCATTAAGTAATACCATTACTGATCACGGATGTGCTGCAAGACGGGCAAAGCATTCAATCACAAGGCAAATATGAGGTCAGTGCTTCTAAGAGGTCATAAAACAAGAAGAAACATCTTAGAAAATGCATAAAACGCAAACTAGCAAATCAATCTGACTTCTCACATTGGGTTTACGAAGCTAGACCTGCATTCTCCAGCGGAAGCATTTAAATGTTCAGTATTGTACCCTCACCCAAAGCACTTCCAAGATTGCTATTTATAGCAGGCATACCAGTTTCTCTAATTAGATTTTTTAATGTATTAACTTTGTTTTGTTTTGAGGAAAGTGTGGGTGTGTCAGGTCGCTAAGAATCATTCTTGGTAAAAATTTTTTCCACTGTGCATTTACATCCGAGGATCACTTTGGGAGGAGGAGAATAAAGCCATGTGATACAGCAGTGTTAGAAATATGTAGATATATTGGGTTACTTTCTTTTTACTAAACATTTTAGGCCCAGCTCTTGCTCCGTGGGTAACTCTGGGAATTCTCTGGAGGCTGCAGAAGACATGAATCTAGCTCTTTGTGTCTGTAACTGTATACCTGTTATCAATGCAGAGGATGAAACGAACACACCAAACACACATTGTTCTATTTTAAGCTGCTGTACTCAGCTGCAGGGGAGGGAGAGGAGAGAGGCCCTTTCTCCCCTTGAAAGTTACCAAGAGTCAGCTATTCTGCCGTAGGGTAAACTCCATTTCCCAACTTTGAAGGCAGATGATCCTAAGTACTGAAGGAGAGTAAATGTTGTGGTTATTGTGTGTATGTGCTCACTCCAGTTGGAGCTGAGGGTGCCAAAATAAATCTTTCCTCCCATCTGGAAATGCCTGTCAGGGAAGCAAACTAGCTGCCAATCAGAAAACTCCCATGTAATGCTCATGCTTTCAACGGCAGGCACACACAACTCTCGTGTCCTAGGGCAGAATCGCATGCCATGGCTTTAGTAGGCATTCCACCAAATACTAACAGAAAGATTGAATCAGTGAATCTTTCCAGGAAAAGCATGGCAGAGCTCTCTTTGCCTGTTTAAAAAGAAAAAAAGCCAAGTGCATAAATTGGCAGTAGGGTGCAACATTTCCCTAAGTCAAGAGTCCAGTGTTGGTTTTTCTGGTCTCACACTGCCCAGGGAAGCAGTGTAATACTTTCAGGACCTTGGAACTTTGACCCTCCATCGTCCCATAATAACTCTTTCTGAAAAATGTTATGCAGCGTATAGTACTTTTTAATATGAAAGTGGAGACTTTCACAACACTTTACATAATAACTTAAGACTCTCTGGAATCTCAAAACATAATTGCTGTCAGTCCCCAGGGATGGCGTGCTGAACAAAATGGTCCCTGTTTTCATGACACAGTTGGCTGGAGGAGGTGGAGACCGGTGATGGGGCTGCCTGGCTGCACTGTGTGTAGGAGATGTTTCCTGGAGGGAGTGACATGCAAGGTAAGACCTGAGGGTAAGGAGGGGAGTTCAGGTGAAGATGCTGGGGAAGAGAGTCGAGGCAGACACTAGGGTGGGAGTGACGTGGGGCTGGCGGTGGGAGGGTGGGGGGGAGGAGGAGTGAGAAATAAGCCAGAAAGGCACAAGCTGGAGCCATGTGAGAAGTTTGATCAATGTGGGAAATGAGCTCAGAGTTGAGTTTTAAGAAGAATGTGCTGTCTTTGTGTAAAAAAAAGTAGGTAAGAAAAGAGCAAGACCCTGGAGCATGGAGTAGAGGGATGGCAGGGAGACCAGAAAGGAAGTTATCATAGATTAGGATCCATCCGGTGTTGCCTGGACTAGGGTTCAGACGGTGGCCATAGTCAGAGGTCAGTGGAGTTAGGGAAGTACAATCAACAAGCCTGGTGTGGGGAAGGAACCCAAAGAGGGGACAAGTCTCTGCCTTAGCCCTTAGTTTCTACATTTCCTTTGATTTTTTTTTTTAATTTAAATAATTTTCCCTACTCTTATATATCACATCTAAAATTGTTCCTTTCCCTTTCATGGTAATGTTCTTTTACCAAGAATACATTTATTCTACATGCACTCACCATCTTCATCATGATGAACTAACTCTGCAAATCTTGGTAACTTGAAAGGGAGCCTGGGAGACAGGCTTAGAATCATGAGGTCTTTATCATGTGTGTAAGCTTATTTTGCAGAAAATTCTAGCTATGCTTATACCTAATGACTTATCCTGTAGCTTTTTCCCAGTCTTTTTTTTTTTTTGAGACAGATTCTCACTCTATTGCCTAGGCTGGAGTGCAGTGGCGTGATCTCAGCTCACCACAACCTCTGCCTCCTGGGTTCAAGTGATTCTCCTGCCTCAGCCTCCCAAGTAGCTGGGACTACAGGCACGTACCACCATGCCTGGCTAATTTTTGTATTTTTAGTAAAGATGGGATTTCACTATGTTGGTCAGGCTGTTCTTGAACTCCTGACCTCGTGGTCCACCTGCTTCAGCCTCCCAAAGTGCTGGGATTACAGGAGTGAGCCACCGCACCAGGCTGCTTTTTCCTATTTTCAAAGAAAACAAAGAATTTTTGTAGGTCTGAGGAAGCAGCAATTGCATTGCCAAGGCTGGCCCTGCCTAACTCAATATCCTTTGCCAACTGACTTGTATCAGCTTGTAAAAGCTGTGGTTACTGAGGCTCTTCAAGGCCATTTCTGGAGTTTGAATGCTTATATCTATCCTTTATGACTGAAAAACAATGGTTTGGGGGAAAGAGAAACATGTTAAACAATATCATGGTGATATGATCATCAAAATCCAGATTGTAGAAAACTAATTTCACCTGACAACCTGGTCTCTTTAACAAGCATATTACAGAAGAAAATGGGAAAAGAAGACAGAGATAAAGCTGGAGATAGGGAGTTTTTTTTTTTAAACTTAGTTTCCTTACTCTTATATATCACATCTAAAATAGCTTCATTCTCCTTCAGATAAAGCTGGAGATAAAATTCAACAGATTCAGAGACTCTGTCAAATTCAATGTATGAATATGGTTTGATTCAAACAAACTGAGAAAAGGGAAAGAAAAGAAATGGGCATTTTTGAAAACTGACTGGATGGAACTATTAAATAATGATTATTTTTTTAACAAGTGATAATGGGTATTATGATTATATTTACAGGGAAAAATATCTTTTACAGATGGTTAAATGACCTCAGTAGAAAGCAGCCTTTCCCTCAGACTACAGAAAATTCCTATCCTATATTCAGGAGAGAGGACTTTCACCCTGACCTGAGAGTTAGATGTCAAGATAGAAACGGTAGACAAGTTCACCCAACATTTAATCTAGTTTCCCCACCTGCCTCTACACTAAGAGTTGGATGCCCCCAAAACAGTAAGGTAGACTGGTATTCCCAAAGGAAAATTTCACATCTGCCCAGAAACGTATTTCTGAAAGTAAAATCAATGCTTGTAAAATTTTGAGTCAAGTTTTAAGTGCACTAAAGTAATCTGTGATGGAACATTTTATAATTCATTGTTTTTGGAAAACTCACATAATGATTTCCAGTTGGGAAGGCCCATCTTACTGAAGGATTGAGGACTGGGGGAAATGAATATCGGGGTATCAGAATAATCTTTGGCATTTTTAAAAGCCATACAAATTAACATAGCTCCTTCTGCTCTCTCCACACCAACAATAAAAACAAAATCAAAAGGTTATATTAATTACTATTAATACTGAGAAGAATGACTTTTTATCCCAAAAGTATATTGGGATTGGAAAAAATTTGAGAATCATTGATCAGAACTTCCCTTTAGGATATTTTCTCAAAGCGAACTATACCTCATTCTTTCAACACAGTCAGGATTGTGTTTAGAATAAATCTGTTGGGGTGAAGTTTCTAAAAGAAACACAAATATCTTCCTTTTTAGCAAAGTTCCTAAAAAAAATACAAATATCTTCCTTTTTAGCAGACAAATAAAAACTACAGAAAGGCTGTAGCCCTGCTCTTTACGTCACTGTTCAATCTCGGTCTTGTCAACCAACAGGATTGTGTTTTTCTTTGGGAAGCGTAAAAATAGGAATTTATGTCAATTGTGGCTTGGTTTGTGTGTGGATAGAGATACAGAATAGAGATAGAGAATCTTTTACCAATGAGTTAATCAGATACAGTCCTTTAGAGGATAGATGTGTTACTTTTATAATTAAACATACATAAGGACTATAATAACAACACAGTACATTCAGAAATGTTCATTATGTGCAGTATAAAACCATATATTTGTGGTAGGTTTTTTTGGAAAATTTTTTTTAATTTTTTTTCTTCTATTGCAATCTTAGTAACCCTTGAACCACAGGCCATGAATGCAGTTAGGATCATGAGAGATCAAGATCTTATACTTTCCCCATTAAGTCACAATGTATGTAGTTGAAGGGAAAAATGGTGAGATGTGCTATTTTAATGTCTTGTTGACCTAAAAAAGCCCTTTTCAAGTCTGTCTTGATGCTACTGCGCTTTTTGAATATAGATTTGGATTATCTGTACACGTGAAAAGTTGATATCAGTAGCTCAATGTCACAAGAAGGCCAGAGGGGTTATCCTACAAGAACACTGTGATTATGAACAAAGCCCATCCAAGCCCTAAATACCTTCCAAGGGCAACCAAAGGTTATTAAAGCTAAACTCTGAAACTATTCTGAGGAAGGGACAGCATGAGGCATGTTATAGCATGCATTTCTAAGTTTTACAAAAATCTGACTTATTATGGGGACAAAAATGGTAGATTTTGCAGGATCACATTAACTTTAGAATTGGGTTCCAAATTATATTAATCATTAGTAAAAAGGTTTCTTGACACAAATCTCAAATTTCCTTGAAAAGTTCCTAAGTTAAATTTCTGAAACTTAAGTTTGTTGCTCAGAGTGGTACAGTCTTGCCTACAAGTAAAAAAACTGAAATGCAAATCTTTAAAAATTTTTCTTTCATGACTGAGGCAGTATAATCATACAATAAAAAACTCTTCAAAGTGGAAATGTATTTAGAATAATAAAACACTATTGCTCACACATCTATATGTTTGGTCCTCAAAAAAAGGGATAAGCAGACACCAAATAGTAGCCTTCATGCTAACTAATGCCTTATTTAAATAAAAATCTAAGTGATGAAAGAAATGCAGGATGCCTTACATTAACCCTAACTAATGGAAATTCAAGTAACAGGACTCCAAAATCTTCACCATACACTTGCAGCTGATTTTAGCCTCCTCCAAATAAAGACTGGGATAAATTAAAAACAAGAAACAAACAAACAAAAAATTGCTTCCTTTTAAAGCCTAATAATTGTGACTTTTGCTTTTTCTCAAAAACTGATTTCAGTGGCAAAAACTAAAACAAAATGGATCCCTGGAATCTTTTTGATAAGAAAATGGCCCTTCCGTCAAAATTTGGCCCAAATCTGCCTTTTTCCAATGCTGACAAAAAGCTCCTTCCATGAAAGATTCAAATTCTATCTTAATGTTTATAAGTGCTCTTCAGTGTGAGTAGACTGATAGGTAGAATGGCAAAAATATGTGCCAAAGTAAAATGGGTTGTGGTCTCTCTCCCCACTTCTCTCGTCTAAGCAATATTTGGGATCATTTTAAATGCCAAAGGAAATATTCTTCTTAACAAAAAATACAGTTGAATTTGAGTGTTTCTTGATTGAACATCAAAACTGCAAACATTTACTTGGAAGGACTGAGGATGCTTTACTCCAGAGAAATTTCATGTCAGATAATTTTGCCTCTTGTATGTTAATTAAATCATTTCATTCATATCCTCTAAATAAGTTTCATTATGACCAGTATGTGGCTGGAAATAGAAATTGGTCAACAGTGAGTGTTTGCTGAGTACTCACAGGATTGAAGAGTATTTTAAGAGGAAAATGACCAAATTAGACTCTTAACTGAAACTATAAAAGAACCACACATTTCCAATGGACTAGATAAAGAAAAACAAATAAACCTGCATATTTTGTAATGTGGTATCATATGAGATTCACATTTTATTAGAATAAACACATCTTGGCTAGTGACACCAGGGCTTTGGAATAGAGGTGGTTTTAATGAGAAGCATCCCACAGGACCAATTCTATCTCTGACCTCTATACCCCAGGAGCACAGTTAACGTGGGACAAATACGGTATATTTTTAATATTTTTAAAATTCCTGCCAGCAGCTCTGCTTCCCTCACATCACTCTTTGTACTCTGCTGAGGCAGGAATGACTTATACCTGCAAAAACTCGAGGAATCCTTTCCTCAAAAATAGCTCTCTGAACATTATTTATGGGTACTATTGCAAAAGAGAATTTTCCAAGACTTAGGAGCCACTTAATGGAATCGTCTTTTTAGAGAGACCACAAATATGACACCGCAAAGTATTTTCCTTGGGAAAATCCTGTCTTTCCACTAGGGAGGTCAATTATTGCTGTAGACATGAACATACCCTTGCAGAGCGCTATGCCTCTCTAACACACATTGAGGAGCTTGACTGCAAAGCTTCATCAAAGTGGAGACGCGCTGTCTGCCTTCATGCAGCTGGCCCTTGGAGAGGTGGGCCTGAACCACCAAAAGGAAATCACAGGGCTGAGGGACAAAGCTAACACATAGACTCGAATGTGGTTTTGTCCAACTACAGTGGGCAGACAGTACTGAATAATACCTAGCATTTCGCTGGGCGCAATGGCTTACATGTGTAATCCCAGCACTTTGGGAGGCCGAGGCTGAGACAGCACGAGGTCAGGAATTCAAGACCAGCCTGGCCAACATGATGAAACCCTGTCTCTACTAAAAATACAATAATTAGCAGGGCAGGCGGTGGGTGCCTGTAATCCCAGCTACTTGGGAGGCTGAGGCAGGAGAATTGCTTGAACCTGGGAGGCAGAGGTTACAGTGAACCAAAACAGTGCCATTGCACTCCAGCCTGTGCAACAGAGTGAGACTCAATCTCAAAACAACAACAACAACAAAAACCAACCAACAAACAAAAAAAACCTTAACATTTAAATTTCCAAAAAGTTTGGAAATATTGTGTTTATATTTTTTTGAGGGTTTTTATTTTATGTCCCTTATGTGGAGTTCAACACAGAAACGATAAATCTGAAAAAGCAAAACACAGAGGAAACCAAGTGTTAGTGAAAAATACCAGCCCTTGT